CCACGGGGAGATCTACCCTCGATCTGGTCAGGCAACAAAGCCGACCAGCCGGCCAGTTCCACACACCGCCGGAAACAATCGTCGTCGAGCTACCACCCCCGGACACACCCAAAGGCATACTAAACATGCATTTCAAACATACATACATTTCGAGCATACAAACATGTAGAAATAAAACGAGCATAAACAAACATGCAAAAAACGAAACCGAGCGCACACTTAGAAAATTCTCAGAAATATATTAATCAAAAGCGGGCACCAGCCCAATAGTCAATATTACATGAACAAGGGCACGCATGCCCAACAAAGAAAACAAGAAAATTACAAAACATCGGCGCGCAGGCCAGGAAACTACGAGCACGCAGGCCCGGGAAACCTACACATCCTCGCCCTCTTGCTCAGCATCCACGGGGATAGCGTCAGGGACGACAAGCTTTGGGTCAACCACCTTCCCGTCAACGATCTCATGATACGGCCCAATCCCGTCCACGACCAGAGCAGCGCCAGGGTTGACGATTTGGACCTGCGCAACAACACTCTTGAATCCGACCTTGACAACGTCCAGGCAATCGCTCTCCAGCACCCGAATCCAGGCGATCAAATCAGCACGCGTAATCATCCGCCGATCTTCCTCAGTCTCATCCTCGGTCGGACGAAGAGTGTTGTCCAGAACCTCCAGGCGAACTGTCAGCGCCTGCACATCGGCCGCCGCAGCCCCCAGCTTCTCCTCGGCTGACGTCACCTTCTCCTAGGCACCTTCCGCCCGCTTGCGCTGGTCGGCAGCATCTTTCCGGCTCTTCTCCAGCTCCTCGGTGAGTTTGTCCAGACGCAACTGCATGAAGGTGAGATCCCCCCGCAACTTGGTCAGCTCAGCAGCAGAGCAACCCTCCTCGTTCAGGACCATAGCCGTAGTAAAGGTTTGCATCATCGCGGCCAAATCCTCCGCCAAGATGCGACGGCGAGACTCTCGATCGACATCCCGGACAACCTTCACTTCGCCAGCAGAAATAGTAGGGGACCGGGCCCCGTGAAAATAACCCGGATGTTGATGGCACGGCGGGACGACGTAGCCCTCCTCGAATGAACCAGTCGTCAGATCAATCAGGCCACTGGGCTCCTCGGACATTGGCCTCTTCGCAGCTCCCTAAGACGAAGGAGACTGGCTCTTTTGGGGAGAAGAAGACGAGCTCTGGCCGCCCTGGGCCACAACTTCCTGCCCGACCAATTGGCTCACCCGCGTCTTCGGGACCACGGCAACCCTCGAGGCAAGCAGCTTCTTCACCCGCTCTTCGATGGAAGACATGTTCGCTGCAAAAAACAAAAAGAGTCAGCAACACACAAAGCATACGGTCACGAGAAAGATGAAACATCCCTACCTAGGTATTCCAGAGCGTCCGCCCTCGAGGCACAACCGAGCAAGGTCTTCGTGTTAATCAGCCTCTTCTCCGTTCGCACGTTCCCCTGCGCATCGAAGATATACCGACCATCAGGCGTCACCAATTTCGACGGGGGAAGGCCCCGCACAAACGCCACTATTTTCATATAAGCGACCATGTCCCTCTCTCCGAGAGTCCCGGCCCGCACTATATACCGGTCGGTACCGCGGTTGAAATGCTCTGAGGTCCACAGTATACCTTTGGGAGCCACGCGACGAACCGGTGGCCGTCCACCACTCGCTGCCCCTCAGTAAAAAGAGAATCCGATCCTTCCCGGGTGACCGGCCGCACGAGGAAGAACCGACCCTTGAAGTCTCGGACAGAGTCGCTGTACGTCTTAAAAAGCGTGGTCGGCTGCTTAAACAAGACCCAACCCTGACGACCATTCACCGATTGGCGTTGCAGACGGAAGATGCGTAAAAATAAGGGCATCGTGGCCTCGACCTCGAGAAAATGGCACACCACCTCGAACGCACGGATAAAGGCCAGGGCGTTGGGATGTAGCTAAGACGGGGCCAAACATAACCAGTCAAAAAGACCCAAATGGAAGGCGGAGAACGACAATCTAAGTCGGGCCTCTTTAAAGTAGAATTCGTGCATAGGAAACATTTGCCGCCCATAGCTCGAGCAGATGTGATGGTGCTCCTTGGGACAATACACCTGCCAGTGTTGCGGCTCCCCCTCCACCCGATCCTCCACGGTAGCAGAGGCGTTGGACGCATCGAGCGTGAAGCAAGAAGGGGTGGACATGGGCTCTTCGGCCACCCACTCCTCGACGGGGAGAACCCGCTCGTCAAACTCTGGGATCTCGGGATCACTTTCTTCGACCATCGTCCCCGGTATCAAGACCGACATGTACACCTGAAAAGCAGAGGATAACGGTGAATTCGATAGCCAGGATCAAATCCACTCTTCCACCGCAGGTCAAGTGAAAGGGCGACGACGGCGGGTGAGTGAGCAAAAGACGAGCACCCGGGCGGCCCCCGAGGGACACTCCCCGCCACTTCTCCACGGGGCATTCAAAGCTAACCTATCGCCCATCCCCGGGGTACTCATCGGAGAATGCACCCGTCCCCGGGGAATTCATCGGAACAATCGATCCTCCCCGGGGCATTCATCTAAACAAACCTAAAAAACCACCAGATACGGCAGAAACTCGCATCTCTCCTCGGGGCATTCATCGTGCCCCGACCACGGACCCAAATCAAACGGCGGAAATAAAAGAAGAGAAGAAGAAAACTCACTTTGTAACGGTGACGAACGAAGTACAAAACTAACGGCGCGGCGACAATTCACAGCAACGGCGGACGGGGAGGAATCACAGAACTTCGCAGGTGAGAAAGCAAGGTGAAAAGTAAAAAATGCTCGGGGACCCCCATATTTATTACCCAGCACAGAACTCGAAGCAACACTAGGCCTTTGAGTGCCCTAGGGTAGCAGCCCTCGCGCCCACTCGGCGCGTGACACGTGGCGGTAACTTGACGGTCGCGTCCCTTCAGATGCCTTTGCCCCACGCACCCGGCGACCAGAAAAGACCTTCGCGTGCACGCGTCCCGCCGAACACAAAACCGGCGAGCCACCCGCCTCGCTGCCTCTTTCCCCGAATCAACGACCTTAAGTCCTCGCTCTTTCGTCACAGAGCTTCGATTTGGGGGGCTCCTGTTCTGGCCTGGGCCCAGCCTCGCGGCCCAACCCAATAACGCACAAGGCCCAATGAGTGGAGTAGCCTGGCCGGGCACACGCCCCCCACCGGACGGGCAGGACGTGCTCCCCGCCAAGCAGGACGCCGCGCTTCTAAGCATCCTCAGCACTCCTCCTAGCCGGACAGAATAGCCTCCACGGGCAGAATCCCCCCTGCCAACGAGCAGGACGATATGTCTCCCCCCGCTCTCGTATGCTCCCCTCCACAAGGAGAATCACACACCGCCGGTGAACCTCCTGAGCTCCCCTCCACGGGGAGAACAACGTGCTCTCGGAGATCCCACGAGCTTCCCTCCGCGGGGAAAATAACGTGTCATGCGCACGTTCTCCGCGTGCTACCCTCTGCGGGGACACGTCATCCCCCAATTGCCCACCTCCGAAAGAGTAGGTCAAACCCACTTTTCGGAGACCATGGGACAGTTGCACTAGGGCGAAAACCACGTCCTGGTCTTCACTACGCCACGTAAGCCCTAGCAATCACCTGGATTGGGCCTGGCCATCCAGCCCAACACAAGTGATCGTTGGCCCAGCGTTGGGGCCTCTCTATAAATACTCTCTTCCTCAAAAGGGTTAGGTAATTCACTTCTTACCCATTTTCTGTACTTTACCCTCACTCTGTCCAATTCTTTACTTTGCCATCGGAGTGTCTTGCAGGTACACCCCCTTCTCCTCCTTATCATCGGTGAACAAGTAACAGTGCAACAGCGTGTGGCCAGCCCGTGATCCCCTTCTGATCAGGTCAAATTAAGAAGTAAAAAGTGAGTCAGAAGGAATTTTGGTCCCCCTCCACCTACCTCTGTCCCTCTTAAAATTTAAACCAAACACAAACTATTAAATATTCCCTCTTCTCCTCTCCCCTCCATTTACCCTCAATTTTAATTAATTATTTCTCTTAATTTTTTTACCGTTAAATTAAGAACATGAAAAATGACAGAATACATAATACATGAGAGGATCCAATTCCCAAACTCAGTAATAAACATCAAATATATTATAAATATTAAAAATAAAAAAAATCCCAAAAAATCACAAATATATATTTTAAATATTTAAAATAATAGAGTATAAGACAAAATATCAAACTATATAATCAAACAGATTCAAATGGAGAAAAACAAAAGACAGACAAACCTAGGTTTTTCCCACCAAACTCCGAACAGATTCAAATGGATATATACAAGTACAGATTTTGTCGTCATGAGTAAAGCTATCGATATAAAAAATAAAACTAAATACAAGACTAGCGCAAAACTTGCTAATAAAAAAGATATTGTACAGATTAACAAAGAGCCGCCTATGCCAATTTTCTAAATTGTCACTAAATGTCTAGTTACGCGATTAACGAATACGCAAATAGCATAAGCCTAGGCATACCACAATAGTTACAAACAAGCAATAGAATGTCACTCAAATAGCATAAGCCTAGGCAGACCACAACAATAGTTACAAACAACAGATAGAATGGCACTCGATACACCTCTGTATTGCACAGATGAGACAAAGGAGAAACATATAACCAAAAAATCTACCACTGTACAGATGAATTTAAAATGCTGGATAACCTATTCACAGAATAACAGATAAGCTGATTCATGAAACAAATCAGGTTTCCTTTTTGGTGTAGTGGGTTAGATAAAATGAAGGGCATGTAGCTTGGCAGGCATATCACGGGCTATCATCTAAAAATTTTGAAATATAAACATTTCCATTTGTTTTATCATCATAAATCACGGGCCAAAACAAAATAACAGATGCTGAGATGGTAACAAAATAGGAAACCTTTCCTACAGGATTACTGGTCGGCTGTGAAACTTTTGCCTAATCGTTGTTTCTGTACAAATTTAAGGACACAACTCTCAACTTCTACTCATTGGTCTCCATAGGCATTGAAGTTGAGGTCAGGTCACCGGCTGGAGTAGCAGTCTGCTCCCCTGCTGGGTTTGGAGTTGCAGACTGTTCCCCTGCTGGAGTCGGGACTGAGATCTGCTCCCCTGGGTTTGAAGTTGCAGGCTCCCTTGCTGGAGTCAGAATTGAGGTCTGCTCCCCTGCTTGGTTTGAAGTTGCAGGCTGCTCCCCTGCTGGATTTGGAGTCAAGTCCCTCTTTACACGGGGTAGGGGTTTTTTGAAATACTTGCCGCAGAAAGATTCAGCGATGTCTGGATATTTCTTCCTGACCAAGTTTTCCAGGCACTTGCGGTACGAAAAGTCTTCTTTTTTACCATCTTTTAAAACCACATACAAGCATCTGCTGTCCTGAAAATCGCTGTGTCTGCTAACCTGCCACCACAAGCACCAAAGGTCCTCCCAACATTAAATAATAATATAGAAATGGACAAATGAAGCCAAGATGTACAGCACAAACTGAAACAAACAGATTGAGTCAAAAGAAACCAAAATATACCATCATCCGACCTTCAAGTTTTGAAAAGAAACCAATTTATATGAAGTATATTATAACAATTGATAGAAGCTAAAAGGCCAGGATATAGAATTAGAGGATACCATAACATGATCGATTCCACCACCCATTTTCGTTTCTTTATCTGGATGATGTTCAAAGACATTCTCAAGCACATATATTTGGTCATCAGCAGGTAGCGGATCCCCATCACTGTACCTTCACACAGGAATTTATAATTAAAAAAATAAGATAAAAATGCAGCAGCTTCTTAGTGGACAAAGGGTAAAGCGAAAGTTGCAAAGACAATATGTCTAAAAATAAAAACAATAATCAACCATAACCCATAATTGCACCCACAGACATCTAATTGCCTTGGAAAACCTACCCTTGCTGTTGCATTATTCTTCTGATTGATTGCACAATAGGTTCAATATCCTTGAGAACATCCTGCTCCTCAGAAGAGTATAATTCAAACCTTTGTCCAGGTGGTCTGGCAGGGACACTCCTATTTTTCCAGTCCCCAGCATTTGGACCCCAACCTTGTGAACCTTCAAAGCGGTTTTTCTTAAATGACTCTCTTCCTTGTTTACCCCATTGAAAACTTCTGTCATTTTCAGAGTTAGCATTAGCAGCTTGCGAGTCCCATCCACGTGAACTTGCAGCTTGATTTGACTCATTCTTGGAATTCCAAGGTTGGTTTTCTTTGGGTTTTCCCCAAGAGCTGACATCTTTTTTCATTCCCCATGAGGACATGTCATTCGACTTGGGTTTTGTTTCATCTTTGTTTGCACCCCAAGCACTAGACTTTGGAGAGTCTTCAGGTTTACTTTTCCCCCATGATTTCCAACCACCTGAGTTTGACGAGTCATTTTGTATGCCCCCAGCTTCTTCCTGGGTCCTTCCATCTCCACCATCTTGCACTCCAGATATATTTCTCCCCCAAGAGGACTGATCATTGATTTGATTTGTATTGGCCCCCCAAGCACCAGACTTTGAAGAATCGTCTTGGGCAACACCAGCTTTCCACTTTTGAGAACTCCCAGACTCCCACTTGGACTTTTCTAATTCATCATCTCCTTGTATTCCCGGCTTCTTTTTACCCCAAGAAGACTGGTCACTATTTTGATTTGTATTGGCCCCCCAAGCACCAGATTTTGAAGAGTCTTCTTGGATAACATCAGCTCTCCACTTTTGAGAGCTCCCAGATTCCCATTTGGCCTTTTCTGCTCCATCGTCTTGTACTCCAGATTTCTTCTTACCCCAAGAAGACTGATCACTATTTTGATTTGTGTTGGTCCCCCAAGAACCAGATTTTGAAGAGTCTTCTTGGATAACATCAGCTTTCCACTTTTGGGAGTTCCCAGACTCCCATTTGGCCTTTTCTTCTCCATCATCTTGTATTCCAGATTTTTTCTTACCCCAAGAAGACTGATCATTATTTTGATTTTGATTTGTGTTGGCCCCCCAAGCACCAGATTTTGAAGAGTCTTCTTGGATAACATCAGCATTCCACTTTTGAGAGCTCCCAGACTCCCATTTGGCCTTTTCTGCTCCATCAGCTTGTACTCCTGATTTACTTTTACCCCAAGAAGACTGATCACTCTTTTGATTTGTGCCGGCCCCCCAAGCACTAGACTTTGAAGAGTCTTCTTGATTTGTGCCGGCCCGCCAAGCACTGGACTTTGAAGAGTCTTCTTGATTTGCGCCGGCCCCCCAAGCATTAGACTTTGAAGAGTCTTTTTGATTTGGGCCAGCCCCCCAAGCACTAGACTTTGAAGAATCGTCTTGATTTTTGCCGCCCCCCCAAGCACTGGACTTTGAAGAGTCTTGATTAGTTCCAGAGTTCCATTGATTACCCCAAGAAGACTGATCACTCTTTTGATTTGTGCCGGCCCCCCAAGCACTAGACTTTGAAGAGTCTTCTTGATTTGTGCCGGCCCCCCAAGCACTAGACTTTGAAGAGTCTTCTTGATTTGTGCAGGTCCCCCAAGCATTGGACTTTGAAGAGTCTTTTTGATTTGTGCCGGCCCCCCAAGCACTAGACTTTGAAGAGTCTTCTTGATTTGTGCCGGCCCCCCAAGCACTAGACTTTGAAGAGTCTTCTTGATTTGTGCCGGTCCCCCAAGCACTAGACTTTGAAGAGTCCTTTTGATTTGTGCCAGCCCCCCAAGCACTAGACTTTGAAGAGTCGTCTTGATTTTTGCCGCCCCCCCAAGCACTGGACTTTGAAGAGTCTTGATTAGTTCCAGAGCTCCATTGGTTTTTTTCAACCCCGTCAACTTGTATTTCAGATTTATTTTGTCCCCAACCAGACCAATCATTCGTGTTTGCTTTGAACTGATCATCAATCTGGTCTTTACTTGAATCCCAACCATTTGATGCTGAGCCATTCACTAGTTCAAAAGTCTCATCAAAGACGGCATCAAATCCAGAGGTATGCGGTGGGGACATATCCCAGTCCACATTTTCATCATTGGGCAAATCATCAATGTCCTCACCCAAACAAGCATTGTTTTCTTCCTCCCCATTGGCAAGGCCTTTGACCATGTGAAGGAATTTGTAGACATCCATCCCTTCAATCTCGTTAGTTTTTGTCTGCAAAAGAAAAATCCAACATTAAAATTTACAACAATGATCACAGAACTCAGACTCTAGACATAATCAAGATCATTATTAAACCCGAGTATAATAAAATACCTCTTTGGGGTCCCATACAATATCAAATCTTGATCCTGTGCCAACTGCCACGTGTTTACCCCAGGAACAGGAGGCAACAATACTTGACAAAGAGTCTGCATGGTGTTTCTCAGCAGCTCTTTCAAAGCATTTTTTAGGAGTCTGCATGATCACATTAACAAGTAAGAAAAGTAATCACAAGATAGATCTGGAGATTAAAAAAATACCAAGGCACTTACAAAGAGTGTTGCATCGGTGAATGGTACTTGAATATTTAATTGACGAGCCAGTGTTTTATAACCACCTATATTAAAACCAACCAAATTTCCACCACAAGTCATACTACTTGCCAAGAGAATTAGATGTTCTCTGAGAACACCTTTTGCCACCATTCTTACTGATGCCGCAAGACGCTGCACACAGCACAAAAGGATAAATACGAAAACATAAATCCCTAATGTTTGGGCTACTGAGTAGACAGTGATTAAGGCTCTTTCATCAAACTAACTCGATAACAAATAATATCATAGCCATAGTACTTTTCGTAGAAACATTTCACAAAAGGAAAGAAAAGTGGAAAGCACCAAAGCAGACAACATGCAGCATACAGCCAAAACAATGGCTGGGAAAAGAACAAGGCATGCAACAAGTCTTTCTAAAAACCCTGTCTCTCAGAAAATACATGTTGATTAGATTTACGATGCAGCAAGAGGCAAAAAGCAGAGAGAAGTATGAATGTAGATATATAACATACATTGCATATTGCCATAAATCTTGGCCTCCTAGTTTGTCAGAACTTTTTCGCATTCAAAAATCAGAAAAATCTCAAGTTTTTAGGATATGGGCCTAACTAAACTCAATAAAACCAGCTCATAAATTCAGGATTACCTAAGCTTTTAGATTATAAAATGAAAACACATGCCAACTATATGTCACCGAAGAGTATGATTCCTATTCAAACAGTAATGGGAGGAAAAATGCACTTCCACACAGTAATTGATGAGAAAATAAGCAGCTACGACTATACGGAAAAGACCGGAAACTACATGTAGCTGATTTAAAATGAAGTTTTGAACCTGAAAGTAAAGCACCTTTAATTTATGTTTACTAAATGTTCTTGCTCACAAAAAGAAAAGCAGACAGCTCATACTTTAACATAAATACAAAATATATCATTACAAAGTTTACCTGAATTGCTTGATCAAAAGTACATGATATTCCCAGTAATTCTTGAATTTGCTTAATAGCATAAGGAACGGAACGCCTGGTATCAATCAAATGAAGAACAGGAAGGCAGGAATCGAGTACAATCCTCCAAGCATCACCACTTTGTTTAACAGCTTCCTTCTCAAGAATGACGTCCAGTGCTAACTCACCATTAGAAGTTTTGGACGGATTTCGGACCCATGTGTTTGTGCCAGGATTAACCCAAATTATATTTGCAGAGCTGATTCGAGGGTCTCCTGCTTATGCAAAAATAGAAAGAGTGTTTGTAAATAAATATATGTAAGATATATACACAATTAGAAGATTGCTCGGGTTACGGACCCAATATATATGTGTGTGTGTGTGTGTGTGTGTGTGTGTGTGTGTGTGTGTGTGTGTGTGTGTGTGTGTGTGTGTGTGTGTGTGTATCAAAAAGAATGGAGAGAGAGTCATTTTTATAATTGAGACTCAGAAGAGGTTAGGCAATTCTTGAGTTATCCTCAATTGCTAGTACCTCAGGTTCCCCTGACATGGGGATATTGCAATAAAGACTACAGGGCCTTTACTTTTCATTACATACATTTTTTTTGTCTTTTGATCTCTTCTTTTTCGGATACTAGTTGATGAATAAAACTTATATCAGAGATGGTTTCAATTTTAAAACTAGCTTCATGCAGTGAAAGAATATATAATTGTATCGTGTGCAAGTACTTAATCCAAGGTGAAGATATCGTGCAATGAGCACTAACGGAGCAATGTTTGAACAATACAGAGAATATTGTGAATCAAATCTTGCTAATAGAAAAGTAGGCGGGAATGAGAATTGTTCATATAGATTCAGTAAGAGTTGAGAGAAGAGAGAATTCTGTTTATAAGTCTGTTATGAATTAACAGAAAATGAATGTTGGTTTTATAATGAAATAGGCAATTGCTATTTATAATAGGCCGAGTCTGAACTGAGTTAGTAGCACTCAGTTACAGCTCAGCACATGGTTGTTGTAACAACCTTCTAGAGCTTTATAAAGCTTTCTCACTAATTCCTTTCTTACTCTAATTCTGTTTTGCTAATTATATGCAAACAGTTGCAGACTTGCTGCAATACTGTAATACTTGCATTGCATTGATAAGATACAGTGGAGCATCACGAGCAACTCTGACGAGGAGACAGTGGGTTGAGTGCCAAAAAGATGGCTTGACAAATTGAGGGAGATTAAAAACAATGCAAGTGAAGGGATTTACGTGTTTGGAGGTATGATCAATGTTGGAATTTCCACCTTCATTGTGGTATGATCAATGTTGGAATTTCCACCTTCATTGTGGTATGATCAATGTTGGAATTTCCACCTTCATAGCGGTCCACCCCTAGTTGCCTAATTGCAACATTTGGCTTGCCTTCATTACAGCCTCCAATATCTTCATTGCTTTTGGGTTTGTAGGGGTGGATTTAGTCCCACGTTGCTTAGAGATATAGCATGTGTTGTGTTTATAAGTGTGTTTATAAGTGGGAGCAATCTTCACCTTACAACCTTACAAGTGTTAGGTCTCACCCAAATTCTAAGAATCCATTTGAATGGCCAACAAGAGTTAGGAACAGGCACTATTATCTACTACCAAATTGGGTTAAGGAGACTGGCACTATTATCTACTACCAGAATGGGTTAAGGAGACGGGATTGTTCTTGTAGCTTTGGACATGAATTAAATGGTTGAAGTTGTCACCCAAACCCCGCCTGGCCGATGGATTATAACATTGTCATAAGATGGTTCAGCCATCCCTTATTCAGAATCAGTATGGAACTTTGTTGGGGACAAGGCCAGAAGACAATGTGATGAAATATAGGGAATAATTTGAAGCTCTTGTGGAACCCCTCAGAATTTTGGAAGTAGAATGCCTGAATGGGGTGTGTCTAAAGCGTACCTTCAAAGCCAACCAGAAGTAAAAACAAAATTCACGATGTGTAATCCTTGCTAGTTCATAGATTTGGCACGGCTGATAGGGAACAAGAGTGTTATATGCCAAAGAGTAGTTCAGACCCAAACCAGGGATAATTTATTTATGGATCAGCTATGGGTTTTAGGAAGACGACAAGGGCACGCACTCAAACTGCAACAGCAAAAGGGCCTCTAGATTAACAAGGGCTGGTTTCACAATCATTGAAGGGAAGCTATCCAGAACACAAAGCATGTTCAAAGGGAGCACAAAAGAAGGGGGGGTAGGAGATTCCTCAAATTGCATGGAGCAGTGCAAGAAAAGAAGTTATGGTGCTGAAGGATTGGCTTTCTAAAATTTTATTTCTCTGCTGGTAGGAGCAGATTTACAATTTCCCATAAATGAAACTCGGCCTAGTTGGATTAAGGGTGGAAATAGGTCAAGGGCTCAAGGCTTGTTGACTGTTTAGCTAAACAAGGTCAGGCTTCTGCTATCTAAAAAGTCTACAAGGCCTAATAGTCCAATCAATTTAATTAAATACAAATAATATAAGAATAGTTTTCAATGCTAATAATATTATATTAAGATTTTTCATAATGTGTCAGAATCATATACTTTACTGACCACTCTAGAGATTTATGGCCTGCATAAAAGACTTGAGCATATAAGTTTATTTTGTGGTAAACATATAACCTACTTAAAGGCCTTATTGAAAAATATTCTTTTAAGAGACTTTAAAATCCCTTTTAAGAAGATTAATTAGACATTAAAAGCGACATCTATTAAACATGATAGTCTTAGTCCAAGAAAGCTAGTCTAGACTAGTTTATTTCCACACCTAACTCTCATGCATATATTTTATCCTCACCGATCTATAAGTTCTTTAACCTACTTAGAATTGAGTCAGATAAAAGACCTTTAAATTGACTAACATGTCAGATAAAATTTTCAAAAAGTCTGGTCAGGCCTAAAAAAAGCCTTTACTAATAACATAACAGACCAAACTAGGGCCTTGAATTTTTCGATTAGGTAGGATCTGTAAGATTAGAAGAAATAGAGGGAATTGTTTCATTCCATTGAAAAACGGTTAACCCTGAGTATAATACATACTCCTAGAGCCTGTTTGCAATTTCTATGAAGGCCAGTGGAGTTTCAGGAGTGATGTCCAGTGGTCATTCTAGGGATTGAGGAGAATGGTTACTTCTAGGAGCAATTTGCCAAGGATTAAGACAAGATTTTATTATTCAGAGAGAATACAAGCTGCTTAAATTATTCATTTAGTGTTCTTAGTCTCTGTGTTCAAGGTTTCATCAATTGAAATGAGCTTAAGTAAAATTCAGCTTAATAGGGAATGCAGGCATATTATGGTTTCGAGTCTTAATGCTATTTGTGGGTTTTAATTAAACGGGATTACTCATTATTGGAATATAGATGTGCATTAATTCATAGTATCTGATAGGGCCATTGATGCTGATAAAGCCAAGGGAGGTCCAAATGAGTTATTAAATCAAAAGCAGTCCTGACCCAGGGTGTGGAAAGTATATGTGAGAAAGAATAGAATAGTGTGCGAAAGGGAAAGGACGTTTGGCAGATAGAGAGGTAGGAGTATGAGGGATGAACCGCGTGAGGGAAATTTGGTTATAAGGAATGATGAGGTAGGAAAGAGCGTGGCAGAGAGAGAGAGGTGGGAGTATGAGGGATGAACCGTGTGAGGGGAATTTGGTTAGAAGGAATGACGAGGTAGGAAAGAGGTGGTATCGTTGTGTTTGTTATGGCAGAGTGTGTGTGTGTGTGTTTGCGCTTCTGAAGGAGCCTAGCTCTTTGCAGTAGTAATTTCCTGATTGCACTGTGTTTACATTTTATTCAGTAAATAGTAGGTACAATACAAGTCCATCACAGTTTTTTCATCTTTTTCCATTTCAATTTTCCATCCTTTTTACCAGTTTCTACCAGTATAACAAGGAGGTATTAATAAAATCCAATATTTTGTAAGACATCCTTTTTATTTTTTGAAAGGAAAAACATATTTTTTATTCTTCCCTATCTAAACCCTATAAATCAATAACAATTAACAGATTTATATTTCTTCATTGAAAAAATGAGTCAAAAAGAAAATACCTTGGATTATTGCATCTAACAAAACGGGGCAGATCAAGTCAGCAAGGACTTTAGTGGTGTGGTCTAAATCTTTGCCATCCGGCCAAACAAACGTTACACAAGGTGCAGAATAATTGGGAGAAGAGCAAGACTCGCTGGAAATAAGGAAAATATACAAGGTTAGTTTTAAACTGCAAACAAATTGCATGTTAACAGAAACAAAAATAAAGATTAATGTGACTTGCAATGGTCAGAAGAAAAGCATGTCATTATAATGCTAAGAGAAAAGCATGTGATTGTCTTTTGGGGAGATGCAATCCTCAAAGCTTGTGAACTCACATGGCTAAAAAATTACTCCGACAACTTTGTTAGGAGACGCCAAGGCTATGAAACTAATTTGTGACAACCAAGCTGCACTACATATCACCTTTAACCCAGTTTTTTATGAAAGAGCTAAGCACATAGTGAACGATTGTAACTTTGTAAGAGACGAGGTTCTTTCAGGAGAAATCGTAACTGATTTTGTTGGTTCAAATGATCAATTAGCTTAACATGTTACTAGAAGACCTCGGGGAGATTCTATTTGTAACAAGTATGGCTCCAGCTTGAGGAGAAGCAGTGTTAAAATTCAGTACACCTATAGATATTTCTTCAAATGTTAAACTTCCTAGATTGATTGTTAGTATGCTTGGAGCATAAAATATTCTAGGTTAGTGCGTATTCATTAGGCATGCAATGTATCCTGTAACACAATTATAAATTCGAGTAGTGTGATATGAGTTCAGACACAAAAATTAAAGAAAATGATAAAAACAAAAAGGAGAACAAACTTGAAAGCCATACAAGAAACACAGAACATCTTGTCATATAAAAAATCTTCCCAGACTACAATTATGCCTCATTGGTTTGATACTGAAAGGAACATCAATCAGCTCATATTACTACAATTATGTATCATATCTAAAGCAATTAATTAATACAAGCAAAAACATTAAGAATTTATAACAGTATATCAAATGTATATGGCAGAACTAAAAATTAATACAAGTAAGCAAGAAAATTAAGAATTTATAACAGTATATCAAATGTATATGTCAGAACTAAAAATTAACCTGAAAAATAATTCAGTTCTCTTAAAGAATGAGAAAAGTTTTTTCTTCCGACTAAAGGAATTAAGTTTCTCTTGGCATTTTTGGTAAACATCAATCATATTTATCTTCAGTTTCTCTAACATCGCCTGCTCAAAATGATAAATCAGTAATCAAGAGCATATTAACACAATAAATGACAATTATATTAAGATGAAAAATACAGTTACCCAAAAAAAAAGAATAGAAAATTACATGTATTATAATTTAAGATATTTAAATTTAATACAATCAAGCATCTTATATATTATTGTTTTATTTATTTCTCAGTGATAGAGTTCGATAAAGTGAAGAGAGAATGAGTAGATTGGAAATCTCATATTGTATTGAATGAATTGAATAATACAAGGGACTCTCTATTTATAGAGAGAGTAAGCAATAGGCTAGATCTAACAAACTAACTGAAAGCTGTAACAGAATGACAGCTCAGCAAGATCTATCTAACAAACTAACAGAATGACAGCACAGCAAGATCTATCTAACAAACTAACTGAATGTTGTAACAGAATGACAGCTCAGCAAGATCTAACTAACTGATACCATATGCTAACTACTCTATTAGTCCCCCGTAGAAGCTGATGGTGATTTGAACAAGTCAGTCTTGTTGAATAACTTCAGTTTTGCTCTGAGAGGAACAAATTTTACAGCAGAAAGAGGTTTTGTTAGAATGTCTGCCCACTGGTCTTGAGCTGGGACATGAACCACAGACAAACTTTTGCTGAGGACTTTTTCACGCACAAAGAAGATGTCAAGCTCCATATGTTTAGTTCTATTATGGAGAACAGGATTGTAGGCAAGAGTAACAGTGCTTAAGTTGTCACACAGGATCTTAGGCACTTGGAAAGAACAGTGGAGTTCCTTAAGTAAGGACTGTATCCATATTAATTCAGCAGCTAATTGAGCCATACTCCGGTACTCTGCCTCAGCACTTGATCTTGCTACAAGTTGCTGCTTCTTGGACCACCATGAGACAACATTTGGACCAAGAAAAACACATGCCCATAAAGTTGACCTTCTGTCATCTGGGTCTGTGGCCCAGTCAGCATCACAAAAACCTAGCAACTGCATAGGTTGCTGAATGGCAGCAGGTTGCAGAAGCAAACCATGCTAAAGAGTGCCACTCAAATACCGTAATATTCACTTGACTGCCTTCCAATGTTCTTCCAAGGGATTGGATAAAAACTAACACACTTTATTAAAAGAGAATGATATTTCAGGCCTGGTCAGTGTGGCATACTGCAAGGCACCAACAACTGATCTAAACTGAGTTGGATCATCAACAGTGTCAGAACCAACCTTTGACAATTTGCTACTAGACACCATTGGAGTGGGCATACCATTGGCATTTAGCATATTCACCTTTGAGAGCAGATCAGTAAGATATTTGGTTTGAGATAACAGCAATGATCCATTAGGCAAATGAGACACTTCAATACTCAAAAAATAATCCAGCTGTCCCAACTGTTTGAGTGAAAACTTATTATTAAGTTGTTTGATCAAGGAGTTAATGAATGAAGCAGAATTCCCTGTGATGATGATATCATCAACATACACAAGAATCATGATCTGAAGTTTTCCTTGATGCAGCAGCAACATGTTGGGATCACATTTACTAGCCTGAAACCCATGCTGAATTAGAGCGCTCTTGAGTTTGTCAAACCAGGCCCTAGGAGCCTGTTTTAAGCCATAAATGGCTTTGTTTAACTTGCAAACAAGAGATTTATCAGTTGATTCAAAACCAGGAGGTTGTTGCATGAAGACCTCCTCCTCAAGAGTACCATTTAGAAAGGCATTATTCACATCAATTTGCTAAATTGTCCACTTATTTGTGACAGCAATGGTTAGCACAACTCTGACTGTGATAGGCTTTATAACTGGGGAGAATGTCTCCTGAAAATCACTTTCAGCCCTTTGATGGAACCCTTTTGCAACTAACCATTTATTTATGGATCCATCAGGTTTTCTTTGGTCTTGAAAACCCACTTACAGCCTATAGGCTTTCTAGAATCAGATGCTTTCACCAATGTCCAGGTCTGATTTCTCATCAATGCCTGATATTCATCTTTCATTGCCTGATGTCAATGGAGAGCAGCCAAGGCTTGATCAACCGATGTTGGTTCCATATGGGTCAAGAGAAGTGTGGGATGAAGTCTAGGTTGAACGATACCTCTTTTGGCTCTAGTTTGCATGGAATGCACATTGTAAGGATTAACAAAGGCTGGTTTTGATGAGGAGGGCTGGGAGAAATTGTTTGAGAGGAAGAAGGAGAAATGGTGCTAGCTTCAGCAATATCATATAGAATTAGAGCAGGAGAACATGGAGGTGAAGTTGAGGCTGAAGTAGCAGGTTGAGAAGTTGAAGATGGAGTAACCGGTTGGTCATGGGCAGACTGCTCATATAAAATAGGAGCAGAACCAGAACTGGGAGTAACAGCAGGGGAAGAAGGAGATGCTACAGAAGGAGAAGACATGTCGGCATCACTAGAAATATGATTGGCTTCCTGACTGAAACTGGGATTAGTAGAGGAGGAAGGAGTGTCCACTGGACTGGATGCAGGGGAAAAAGATAAAGAAGGGGCAGACCAAGAGGAAGCAATGGGAGATGAAGGGGAAGGGCCAGAATTGGAGGGTTGAGCAGGAAACAAAGTTGAATAAGGGAAGTGAGATTCATGGAACACAACATCTTTAGAGATGTAAATATGTCCATCTGCAGCAAGGCACTTGTACCCCTTATGAGCTGTAGAGTATCCAAGGAAGATACATTCTTTGGACCTACAAACTAACTTGTGTGAATTGTAGGGACGAAGAAAGGGATAACAAGAGCAGCCAAAATCTTTAAGAGTAAAATAATCAAGAGGCATATTAAGAAGTTTAGAATAAGGTGAACAATTATAAAGTGTGGGATTGGGAAGTCTGTTAATCAAGTAGGCTGTTGTGACAAAGGCATGATCCCAAAATTTCAAAGGAAGGGTAGATTGAGCAAGAAGAGTTAGGCCAATTTCAACAATGTGCCTATGTCAATTTCAACAATGTGCCTATGTTTGCATTCAACTAGACCATTTTGATAATGTGTGTGAGGACAAGTAAACCTATGAACAAAACCCAATTCTGTAAGATCTTGGTAAATGGCCTGAATTCTCCACCCCCATCACTTTGAACACATTTGATGAGACAATTAATCTTCAGTTCCACCATTTTCTTAAACTGAATGAACCGAGTTAAAGTATCAGACTTTAGTCTTAGAGGGAAGACCCAAACAAACCTAGAAAAGGTAGAGGGTAACCTATGTGATTTTCCTAAAAAGGACGAGTATACACAGTGGTAGATAAGGTAGAGGGTAACCTAAAGTATCACAAACAACAAGCTCAAAAGGATGAGTATACACAGTGGTAGATAAGGTAGAGGGTAACCTATGTGATTTTCCTAAACAGCAAGCATGACACAACTCGGTAGATGGTTTAGGAAGAATAAGGAGATTGCATAGTTTAAAAACCTCTACAAGAGCATGGTGATTAGGGTGCCCTAACCTAGTGTGCCATAAAACATATTTATCATTGGCTATAGATGATGAACTATTAGAATGAGAAGAAGTTAACTCAATGTTGTATGTAGTAGAATGAAGGGAAGGAGAATTGGAAAAACTGCTCATAGTATTATTATTGTATTGATCAAAATTACAAGGAGTAATACATTGAAAGATACAATTTGACAAACAGTTGGAAACATGATTAGTGGGTGCTACAGCAGAACATGATTAGTGGGTGCTACAACAGAACATGAGACATTACAGCTAGCACTACACTTAGTCTTAGAGACAGATTGAGCAGAACTGGAAATTGAACTTGAAGAGAACTTCGACAGTTGAGTGGCAGGATTTGGAAATTTGTAGAGGCCATCACTTCCAACCGACCCACACAGTAATACTTCAGATGAAGCCTGAGATTTTACAACACAGAATTTTGGGTGAAATTCAAAGAAAACATTGTTATCCTGAGCAAACTTGCTCACACTCATCAAGTTTTTAGTAATATGAGGAACAAGTAAAAGATTGCTAAGAGTAAGGGATAGGGTAGGATTGTTAGGTAAGGGAAAAGACATGGAACCAACAGAATTGATTGACAAACCTTGGCCATTTCCCATGAAGACTTGCTCAGTGCCAGACAATGTAACAGAATCAGTCAAATTAGAGGCCTCAGGAGTAACATGATGAGACGCACCTGAATTCGGATACCACCATTGATTACTGAAATTAGCTTCAGTACCTGCATAGAAGGTTTGAGGTGCTGAAGGTCTAGGAGGTGCACCTTTGGGAGCAGGATAGCCAAACTGAGATGAATACGTGGAACGAGGTGGCATGAGAAAAGGATTGAACGGAGCCCTCTGAGATGTGTACGCAACTCCACTAGCGTTAGGTAACCATAATAACAGACAAAGGCATCATGTCCAGATTTATGATAGATCTGACACTGCGTTTTGCCAAAGCATCCTCCACCATGACCATAACGGCCACCTCCACAACCGAAACGACCTCCACGTGAGCTATAACCATGGTGCTCAGCATGCACAGTAACATGACTCGTTCCTTGTGGAAACGCATCAGTGATGGTTTGATCAACGGGAACTGACGTTGACAGTGACGCTGCCTGAGTGAGATTCGCCGTCACAGGCTTCGTAATCACAGCTTTGCGATGCTTTTCCAGTCGCGACTCATGTGCAAGCAAAGACGACAATTCTTCTAACGAACTGACCTCTTCTTTACTGTTAACAACCGCAACAATAGAATCGTACTCTTCAGGAAGAGAATCAAGAACGATCTCGATTAGGTTACGAAGAGGAACAGGATCCCCAATCGACGTCAACGATTCACTAATTTCACACACACGAACCATGAGTTTGTTGATCGTGAGTGCTCCTTTTGTGAGACGACGAAGATCCGAGCGCAACTGACGCGCTTTGGTAGAGAGGAGAGTGTTGAAGTACCGATGAACCTCTGTCCAAACTTGCCAAGAATGCGTGCAATCCACAAGCTTCGGAAGAAGCGAATCGGAGATGGTGGATAGCAGCTAGGTACATATGAGTGCATCCTATTGTTCCCATTCCAGGTACGCTGAATTCGCACTGTGAGATGCTGAATCGGAATCAAACGGTGACCGCTGTGGAATCACCGAAACTGTAACAAATCGCTGCAAGCGATGACCGCGAACAACACCGCCGATCTGTTGCTTCCATTGCTTGAAGTTTTTATCATCAAGTTTCACAAAGATCAAGTGAGAAGCTTCACTTGCGAAGGCGGAAACAAAGACTCCACGGATCGAAAAAAAATTAAGCTCTAGATACCATGATAGAGTTCGATAAAGTGAAGAGAGAATGAGTAGATTGGAAATCTCATATTGTATTGAATGAATTGAATAATACAAGGGACTCTCTATTTATAGGGAAAGCAATAGGCTAGATCTAACAAACTAACTGAATGCTATAACAGAATGACAGCTCAGCAAGATCTATCTAACAAACTAACTGAATGTTGTAACAGAATGATAGCTCAGCAAAATCTAACTAACTGATACAATATGCTAACTACTCTATTAGTATCATTAACATATAGTTTTGAACCTCCACTATCAACCTATGTTATTAAACTCAGCTCAGACCAGTTACTGCATATGTCAGCAGCCCAACCAGCTTATTTTACAAGACTAACAATCAAGCTGGTACAAACCATACAACTCGTTAGTTTTCCAAAAAAAAAAAACTGTTAAAATCACTATTAGTATTCGGCACTATAAAAAACATACTTTTGGTATACAAAATAATATCTTCGCCCCTTGCTTCACCCAAGGTTTTCTTCGGCTAACCACAAACTCCTTTTAATATAGCTAGTTCCGAATTGACCAGTGTAGGTAACGGAGCATGTGTTGCCCTACTTCTAATAAGAAAGAACCATCTTACATGAATTATTCTTAATCTTATGTTAGTTTTGTACTGCCAAAGGTCATCTAAAACAGGCAGGCTATCTCAAAATCCAGTAAAACAGAGGTTAGAGTATGTCTAGACCCTAGTATCAAACTAATAGGATATCAAAATGTGGTCAAACTTAAAAAGCTGGGAACAATGCACTAAGTTATAGATCAAAAAGTTACACCAAGTTTATATGAAGAACATATAGAGGCTCTAATAGTTTTAATATCATATAATTTTCTTGATTTGGCTGCCACTGTTAAGAGAGTGAACAGTGGGAAAATATGTAGATAAGCTGTGCAAAATTATAGAATTTATGCACGCATATCTGCAGAGAAAAATAATAGGATTGGTAAATACATTAATATTAAAAATATATATATTTCAATATTTTTAAGTATTAAAATTTTTAACAGAAATTAACATTTTCAAACAAGTTATTGCATGCTTTTACAGTTATGTATCAAACAAAATGATAACTTAATATATCTAGAAAACGAGTCACCAATTATGCATACTTCAGCTCACAGCCATTTTATAAAAAATATGAAGTAAATTATAAAAATCTCTTAAGATCAAAGAAAGACAAAAATAACTAGGAATAGTTTCTAAGAGCGCTTTCCGACCCGACTGCATATCTGATAAAGAAAACAAAACATAAAATGCAGAGGTGTGAAAAATGTTCTAGAGCTTGATAATAAAATTTTAAAATCGTACTATTTGCATGACATAGGCACATGCCTGCATCAAAGCCTAAAAACGTTCTTAAAAAATAAATCACCTCATCCAGATGAATATGACCAACAAGGCCTGCATCTTCAGGAATTTCACTGCGTCTTCGCTGTTGCTGGTATCTACAGATGAGACATGTGTCCCACATGAATAAAGTTGAATATAATATATTTCAATATTTTCAAGTATTGAAATTTTTAACAAGAATTAACATTTTCAAACAAGTCATTGCGTGCTTTTACAGTTATGTATCAGACAAAACTACAGAGAAGGCATTAGATGTAGCCCAGAACTCAACCCCAAAAACAAATATTAACAAGCATAAGTGCAATTGACAACATTGGTAAAGATAAATCAAGATTTATGTTACAAAGTACTCCTTCTGTCCCAAATTACATGTCACTTTAGAAGAAAAATTTGTCTCAAATTATAAGTCACTTTGCAATTCCAATGAAACATTAATGACATTTTTCCCAATATACCCTCTATCATTTATTACTTTTTCTTTTTCCAATTCTTTAAATTTTTCTTTCATCTATACTAAATGAAGGACAATAGTGTAAAGTCATACATAATTTCTCTTTCCCATGTAACATTAATGACGTTTTTCAATTCTTGTGAAATGTCCAAAATGTCTTGTAATTTGGGACGGAGGGAGTAATCATTTAACCACAGTTGATATATTTTAGCAACAGGCCTCTAATTAAGCAAACTTCTGTGAGGCATAAAAAACATTAATGTCTACCACTGTTTGTCGGTTTGTCGTTTGTTGTAACAGTCCATCTGTGTCTAATTAAATAGAATAGGTAAATTGAAATGGACATTTGGGAATTCAGTTATTTGTTTCAGTTTGGTGGTTATTAGGTAGAGGGCAGGCTCTTAAACAACCTGTGATCATATGTAACTTTTTTGTTTCATTTCAACTCAATAAAACATCACCAATATAATTCACTATAAAATATTACTTTACTGTGCTATATAGAAGTATGGTTTTTTGATAGAACATTATGACGCCGTTTGAACCAGACTTGGTTGGTGGTGGTGGTGGTGGTGGTATACTGGTTCTAACAGTGGTATCAGAGCACTTACAAGCAACACAATTTTTACCAACTAAAAGATATAAGCTTTTTTTAACGGAAAAGATATAAGCTGAATATAGCAAAATATAAATAAACCAACACAGAAAACTTACTCAACAATGAAATCCAGGGCTGCATCTTTGAGGCTTACTTTTCTCAACTGATTTTTAACCAGATATGCAGCATTTTCACGACAATAACTCCTCCCACAATCACAATCATTCAAGTATAAAATTAGGCGACGATCATTTGGTTCATTCTTAAAGTTCACCTTGCAAACAAGTATTTCCTGAAGATAAAAATGCATAAATAAATAACACAAAAAACTTTACTGAAATATGAGAAACAGATGCCCATTATTCACAAGAAACTATCACCTTCATAAACTCCCACGAAGAGTTGCTACTAGGACTAGCATCAAGGACTGCTTTATAAGCAGGGTTTGACATTGAAGTTGCAGCTAAAACGCCTACTGGCTCACCGGCAGGGAACAAGTGCTGGGCTGCCTCTCCAGACTGAATGCCATATTCAAACTGGATGATGGAATTACTGCATACATTTCTCACAGTTCCATCATAGCAAATGACCACATCTCGGAGAATGGCCATCAAATTCTTAAATAGTGTTCCTGGTTCAGATAATCCTCTAGAAGAGCGATCAATTATTTCTCTAGTTGCAATTGAATGCACAAACTCTTCATATGGATCTAAACCATGAAAGAAGCATCCCTTGAGCAGCCCAAACTCTGCAGAGGGATAACCATCTCCATCATAGAAACACTTCACGTGAAAATGGGAAGCCACATCCTCAACCAATCCCTTGGAATAAAACCTTCCTCTCTCGAAGAGCTGTTGGCCTAAAAAGCCAATCTGTTGAACCACCTTGTCAACAGCCGACTTACTCTTTGAGTCAATCAAATCTCCAAGTTTGGTGGACTTCAAAGCAAAATTTATGACGGGAAGTTCAATATCTTGAAGGTGTTTCTCCAATTGTTGAGCCACTAGCTCTTTGTATATGACCCTCAGCTGATGCAACAAAGGAGAAACTTTCCCAATACTTCTACTAATAACTCTTTTCACAGCCCTGGATATCGACAAGTCTTGTAACCCAACACTAAATCCATAGGCAAATATGTTTTCCATCAGAAAGGGCTGGATCACATCAAAGAAATTCAGTGCCTCCGGAGAACCCTTGCTAAAAAAAATTGAGGCTGCTATTTCATTTATAATTGAAGGCAAAACATCTCTAGTAAAATCAAATTCTAAGATTTCCCTCTGCTTAATCAAGTATCGCCCTCCGGTACAGTCAAACGAGAAAGGCAAAGCACACTGCAACATTTGAATAGATGTCCAATAAGAATCACCAGAACCGGCATTAAGCAAAGCAGGCATTGGCAAAGGCAGTGATAGAAACATTGCCATTTGATTTGCTGTGGCTTTATCCCAGAAACAACTCTTGACAAGCATCTTGAGTGACAATAATGAATCTGCAGATAACTGAAGGTTCAGATTACCACTATGAGAGCTAAGAAGCTGTTTCTCTACAGAGAAAAGCTCCAAAACCTCAGCTTTAGCAGCAAGTGACTGGGGATAAAAGAGATGGACACAGTCGCCATCAAAATCAGCTCCAAGGGGTCCACATATTAGAGGATTTATTTTGACAGTGTGGTCATCATGGATGTAGACGACAAGCGCTTGCAATGAGTGTTTGTGAGTCGTAGGTGGTCTGTTGATGAAGACAACATCCCCATCCATAATCCTCCGATGCACTATCTGACCAGGTTTAAGATAAGTGTGCCCCTTTGAGCCCTCCCTTAGTGAGTAAGTTGACAAACCTTCCTTATATGTCAAGCACAAATTTTCATCAACCAACTTTTGTAAATAATGGATGTTATGGATGCTTACTCTCTCCTCAAATGTTATCCTTTGGGCAACCTCAAGCGGAATTCCTACTTCATTTATTTTTTTATAGCCATCTCCAGTTATCACATTCCTGGAAGAAAACCCTGAACCCTTTCTTATGAATAAAGTCCTCATTTTTTCTAACCATGCTTTTGTTGAAGACTCATTCAGCTCTTTATTGACCGCATAATGCGTTTCTATATCGCGTGCTGCCTTAGAAGTACCCCTGATTTGAAGATACTGATCGACCACGGATTGCAAGTCGTTAGCTTCCACTAGATGAGACTCAAAGTTTGGTTCACCGGATCTAGAACTTCTGATGACCTCGACCTTCCTAAGCAATTTTCTAAGAACTGTCATAGCAGGATCCTGCAATGTGAGAGAGAAAGATACATAACCTTTTGAAGGACTACAAAATAATTTTATAATCAAGCAACAAATCACATAATCATTTCCTCACCGAAGACATGATACTGACACCATCTGATACTACTGGCACAGACAAGCAATTTGGTGGTACCGGAAGGTATTTCAAAATATATCCATCTTGAGGAAAATATCCTTTTCCAGCAAGTTTCTTTTTGGTTTCTCGAGGCATTCTCTTGATAATTTCCATTGCCTGGTATAGATATGACAATAAGCTATAAATCCAATGACAAGTTTCAACTAGAAAACAAAAATAAATAAGTATATAACAATTGGTCTGAAAGTATCAATGATAAACCTATGTGACAGTCAATTACATGTTTCTTTAGTAGAAATGTCAATCATATGGAGAAAGCAAAACAATTATTCCAATCTTGTAATGAACTAAAAATATATCAACACTAATAAATAGAGAATAATCAACAAATTAAGAAATACAACTCATCTATGGGACATTGATAGAATAATGAGCAGAGAGAAAAGAGATTAACTTTATTGAATATTATTAGAGTACACAACTGTAAATCTAGAGGAAGTGATCCTTGAGATTGGAAGACTTAACACAAATTTCCTTTTCAATTTTTCATTATCAATTTCTAGCTGAATTTTCTGAGATTCTAATACTGTAACAGATGCTTATATCTCTTAGATAGCCACAATTCATTATCAGTATAATTCAGGTTCGCCCTTCCAATTTGTTATACCTATCACTCTTCTCCCTGAAACTGAATTAATATGGTCACAGGATCAAAAGGACAGATGAAGAACATTAGAGTGTGTATAACAAGAGTCTCCCACAGCTCCAGGATGTGATGTACCTCCCAATCTTTCAAGACCAAACCATTACCTACCACTGCTACTTTCCTACTACAGATATCCTTGAAATTCAAAGAGAAAAAAAGATATCCAACCCCAAGCAAATGATAAACCAAAAATGCAATTATCTTAAAACACAATGAATGAAGTCTATATATGGATTGTTTCAATTAAAAAGAACAGCAACAGTGAAGCAATAAAAAAATACAAAAATAAGAAATTAAAAGCCTGAAAATCAATGCACAAAAAAAAAAAGATAACCGCAACGATAAAGCAACTTGAGTAATATATATTTCAAAACAACTGGCAAAGTAATAGATACTAGCCCTTTTAATTAAAAAAAAGAACAGTGAAAACCAGTAGAAACCACACCTCACAAGGAAGCAAAGCTCGAGTAAGATCGCCCTCATAGCGATAACCATATTTTTCTAAAAAACTCCAAAAACCGTCACTCATCTTTGACTTCGGCACCTTCAGTACCAAGTAACAAGCCCCATCAGCTGTTTTGATCTCCCGAATAGATACTTGTGTGGCGGCATTATTGTCCTAAAAGGAAAATATAACTATCATGTACCTTGGACAATAATATTTATTAAAAATAACAAATTCCCATATGTAACAAAGTATGATAATAGAAAAAACAGTTTTAGCCAACAAATAAAAAAGCAAAAGAAGAAAACACAAAATAAGCAAACCAGAGAAAGAAAAATAAAGTCCTATCTTGGCAATTTCAAATGTGTAACCAACAGTTCTGGTGATTTTTTGCCAAAGTACTGGTTCTATAGAGCTGCCCAATTTATTTATAGTTCATACTTTTCAGCACTTCTTTAACATTTATAATGAACACCACAAGTGTCTCTCGACTGTTTCATAAATCCTAGCTCTAATAAAAAAAGTCAAGATCCTAGTCGTGGTTGGAGTTGTGACCAATGGTTCCCATGTCAGCTATATACACGACAAGCTTGGCATGAGCATGCCAATAAATACTAAATAATAAAAATATTTTAATAATTTCACACTTCTCATACATGAATTTTTTTTTTTTTAAATCAACTTAAAATTTAATAAAACAAAATATTAGGAGACAAGAATTGACTGCCAAAAAGGATAACGTGTGATTTGTTCATACTAACCTCACAACAAGGAGCCACTACTCTCTGTGCAAAACCACTGCCTGAAGAAGGAATCTGAAAGGTTGTGAGCCAGTATTAGAGTTTGAGAGAAAACCGAATATTCACTGATACTGGAAATGATAAAACTGATCTAGCTCTGCCACAGCAATCTATTTCTAGATGCAGAGTCTAGATAAAAGATAAAAAATAAAAAAAGGCAGTTTCAACTGTCTGAGAGATACAGTTAACTGACAAATGTAAAATAGTTGGCAGCATCCACGATGCCGGATGGTATTAACTAGTTACAGAAAATAGACCATTGCAGTAAATTAAAAAGTGCAACTATTACAAAGAAAATCTATTTTTACAGCCAGTAAGATCAAACACACAAAATGGAATAAAACAAAGGTTGTATCCTTCTTGTATCTAAGTCTAACAAACAAAGTGTATGATTGCAGGATTTACTATACAATTTAGGACAAGATAATTAACAAACCAAACCTCATTTAACAATTCATGTCTTTGTGATGAGAACAAGGGGAAAAAAACTCTGAAGTTAATTACAATTTATAAATCTATTGATGTAAGTATAATGAAGTCTCGACTTTATATTGCAATACAAATCAGCGGCATAATTAGCAGTGTGTGGGATGACCATAAGATAAATTTAGGAGTTAAAACATAGTTAATACTAATAAACATACAGCTGCTGAAAAATGAAACAGAGCACTCAAATTTCATAAAATATTGATAGTTATCAAAGTTATTTAGGCATCAAAAATGCCAGTTGAAAACAACAGACATTGTAATTATTAATTAGCTACTAAATTAGGTTACAGTACCTATGCATAAAAATAAATGTAGTACCTATGAATAAAATTAAAGGGAGCTAAAAATTTTGCAACTAGAGTTATGAATTTAATTCATGAACTTTTATAAATGGAGCTAAATGTGCTACAAAGAAGGTAATGCTTTCATTAAGAGATACTACAATTGTATTCCCAAAGGGTTGGGTTGATTTTAGGTGGCAGTGATTTTCTTTAGTAGACAATCTGTATGTATCATTCATAGCCCTCATCAAGGCCTGTGGCGTATCCTCGCTTTGGAATGGGGTAGCCCTCCCTCTCTCTTGAACTCGCTTCAAACTCAAACAACATGATAAATACATAAATCTAATACATGGTGTATATTAAATTATACAACAGTATAGGTTAGAATAACATATACTATTAAAATAAGTTTTATATTTAATAGAAGTGATTAAAAAAGTAAAAGCTAATAGGTAGGGAGATAAGGCTAATGAGTGGAGTACATAAATGAGTTTGACAGTTAAAAAATGAGACCACTTAGTTGTGGTTTTGGGAATGGGATTTACATGAAATTAAGAGGGGAAAAAACTTTGAACAAACAAAAAATGGGTTTATCCCCCATTACTCCCACTCAAATCCACACAAAAATCTGGTGCGGTGGCACAAAAGTCATTTATGTGGTTCAAAATTATGACAGAAGGAATGTGGAAAGAGATAAATATCTCAAGGGCAAATAGCCCTTCTAATTTAAATAACCAAGCAAATAGGTAGAAGTGAGAACCAAAAATCTACCACTTAATATCATTACAAGCTATTAAAAAGGTAAAGAGCTGTGTGTTCACATTCCTTTTCAGAGATACCTTTATTTTCTTCAGTTTTAAGCAGTTTAAGCAGACCAAGCTCAGTATTCGCTTCAACTCAGTAACATGACTAGGATGGTATATTGGAACTGGAAGTTCAATATATCCAAAGTGGCCTGAACAGTAATATTGAGTCAGTCCCGTTTCTTTTGAAATATACTGCAACACTTTTCCATCAAAATGACAATAGAAAACATGATCAAATAAAATACCTTCGCATTTCCCTACTTCAGAAGTGCCACAAGATTCACATCGCCCAAACTCAAGTGGAAGCCCAAGGAATGGATTTCCCAGCTGGCTAGAATGGCTAATTTGGGAATCACTAATTGAGGCAGTACTCTATCAACAAAAAAGCAGGAAATTTCCAATGCACTTATCAAATGTAATAAAGACCACTCAAAATAAGGTTCTTAAAGGAAGCAAAAAAAGACCACCAAGAATTTTAGCAAGGATTGCCTAAAACCCAAGTATGCAGTCCTCCATCCTTGGCGATGATCACAAAAACTAGGTCCAAATTTTTACAAGTTTATCTCATTGGAGCCATATCTCAGAGAAGATGATGTCCATCAACCGAGTGCTACAAAAGTTTATAGCCCACTGGAGATGCATCTACAGAAAGTCATACAATCCAACAGGAAAAATAAAGTTAATACATTACGTGCTTACAATTTCATGGCGTGTAGCCATACTGAATCGGATCCCAACAACCTTCCCTTCCATGAGACTTGAAGCAGGATTATCTTCCATCACTACCTTGGTAAACTACAGTACCTGCCAACAGATAACTCATAATCATGAGGCATTATTTGTAAACATTAACAGTGTCAGCATAACTAAAGCAGAAACAAACAAAAAAGACGATGGAACAGAAAATTACAGGAAAACTGATTCTAACTTTTATTTGCATATTCCACTTCACAGAATTAAGCAAATCTCCAAAGACCGCATAAAAACAAATACATCGGACTAACATGTCCATCATAATTTACCAACACAGATGTTTGAAAGGAAGACTAGATATTGTATATTGCAAAGCTTATTTTTTAATTTCAAATCAAGCACTTTTACAAATAGGCTGCGATAGCACCATTCTTAAAAAAAGTTCGGTAACTAAGAGCACTAGGGTGAAACAATCAGCTCATAAATCACACATCAACCCACAACCATAGTGTACTTTGACAAAAATACAAGGATTGTTCATGTAGTGTACTTAGACATGAAGGAAGGATCCTTCTCGTAAACTCCCCACATTCTAAGGAGTAGATTAAGAAACTCATGAAGAAAAACTCCCAACCTATGAAGCACGGACACCAGAAACACAGACGCCAACAGTCTTGACACCGGTAATAATTTGAAAAATAAATAAATAAATCGTATTCACAAGTGTAGGTGTCAATGTCAAACACATCTTTTTTTCATAGGTGTTAATGCTACATAGCTCCCAACTACATTGAATCATTTCTCACTAAAATGCAGAGAAAAAAAATCACTCACATTCGCCTGCATTTCAAACCACTTAAAAGAATTCAAAAAACAAAATAAAATAAACAAATACACAAAAGCTTGTGACAGGTGAAAGTTTTCGAGAAAATACCCAAACTGATCATCAAAGAAAAAATAGGTAAGTCAAACTAAAATCAAGCTAAAATTAAAACACAGCACATAAAACCCTAGAAAAACAAAACAAAAACACAACAGAAAATAAGCACCAAAAACCTTAATCAGTTCCAAAACACGAATTAGATCATAGCGTCTTTGCATGAAACAGAAATGCAGAAGAATTACAAGAGAAAACAAGTAACTAGTACGCTCCAGAGTGCGTGTTTGAAAAACCCTAAACAACGGAAATGAGAGCTATGGGCAGAAAATCGGTACTGAAAAAGACAGCGATCGTCGCGTTTTTGCATGAAACGGAAATGCAGAAGAATTGAGAGAAGAAAATTGATTTACCGAGTGGTAGGTTTTGATCGTGAAGAAGACAAATCGCATGAGAGAGAGAGGTGAAATGAGAGAGAGAGTGTGGAGAGTGGAGAGAGTGAGTGTGGAAATTTGGGTTTTGTAATGTGTTTGTAAATTGCATGAAATGGAAATTGTGTGTTGGAAAGGAAAAAAATATGGAAATGAAATGAAACGAAATGGAAATTAATATGATTGTGGCTTTTGTGATTGTGTAAGAGTGGCTGGGTTTTGGGAGAGGGTTTTGTGGATGATGACGAGAATACCCTTGTTGACTTTTTTAGGGAGTGAATATTTGGTTGTGACCACGTGGATAAAATTGGGATTTGGCTGTTATTTTTTGGTGAGGGGAATGAAACGGTTGTATCCACTACCTGAATTTGCACATGGGTGTGGTTAGGAAAACTTCACATGAGTTAAATAGGTGGTCATTGTTTTTCATTTTGTGAATTGTTCGAGCCGTTTTGTGTAGTTGATGTCTATTTATGTTGGAGACATTTTAGTTGGGGTTAAAATAAAATTGAGGGAACTTTGGACTATTGAAGTTTGGTCTTTTTTTTCTTTTTTTTTTGAAAGAAGCGCAACATGAAGACATAAATTCTATGGTTTTTTTTTTTTATATTTGTAAAGAAGTTCAACATGAGAACTTATAAATTATAATATTACTCTAACTTGTGGCAGGGTTCACTACACTTGTGGTATGTTGTGTTCACTAATCCTATAGAAATTTAAAAATATCATTTCACATGTAAGATTAAAATTCAAATGTACTAACTATACAGAGCTGAATTTCTCTTTTGCATAAATGTATTATTCAGGTTAAAAAATTTTAATTTTAAAATTCAGACGCACCTTTTGAATTTGAAATTCAAAAAATATAAGGCAGAAAAATGAATGTTGCATAATCTTTTATGGGTAACCCTCTTCATGATCATAACACAAAATACATTAAAACTTCTAAAATCTCCTGACATTCTTAATAAAAAAAATATATTTGTAAATAGCATTCAATTGTATTTTTACCTCAAAGTACGCAAATTCATTTGGAATTATAGATAATGTACATTTATATCATTGATCATCATTTAGATAATTTGATTTTTCTTTATGTATTATGAACATAAAGTCTGAAAATTGAAATCAAAATTCTATAATGGTTGGTTTGGAAATTCAAATCCATATTTGTAACACCCCCCTTTCTATACCCCCAAATTAATACATTTAATCAATTAGGCACTTAGAAAATTTATTTCATCAGAGTTTAATTAAAATTTAATTAAAACATGGTATATAAGAGGCGCATCACATTATCACGAAATTAAACACATACGATACCTGCTCAAAATAGATATGCAACAATGGGTAACCCACATCTCAATATTTAGAATAAAAGCGGAAACATCCAAATATTGAATCGATCACATTCATAAAAGTATATACAATCATTCAATCAATTCATGCTTTACAACCATATCCACAACGGATACATGCACAGATGTATCACAAGGAATCAAAACAAATGTAACTCCAAAGGAGTCAAAGGCTTCCTAACTACCCAGATGTTACATATCAGAGCCATTGACCAAAAAGAATGAAGACATCGCTTCACAAAAAGAACCTCCAGCTTCCTACTCTGCAATGCCTCATAGAGCATTATAAAACAGCAGAAGGGTGAGAAACAATATCATAACAGTTAATGCATAAAATTGTATATATACATATACTCATATTTGTATAAGTTATACTCAAATTATGTTCTCACCACATTAAGCATATACAATTAATCATGCCTCTACACATGCTCATGAACATTCACTATATGTTCCTCCAAACAATCATATATAACATACACAGTTACATTCATACAACTAATGCATCATACACAGATGACTCATGCAACTCATAGAGACCGACACACGACTCTATGCAGATGCAAATGCGGTACCGACTCATTTCAACAAATTCTCTAAGGAATCGAGTATTCAGCAGATTCTCCACGGAATCAAGTATTCAGCAGATTCTCCACGGAATCAAATATTCATTAGATTCTCCACGGAATCGAATATTCAGCAGATTCTCCACGGAATCAAATACTCTGCAGATTCTCCACGGAATCAAATACTCTAGTCAATCCTCCAAGGGATTACATGTTATGATCGATTCTCCGAGGAATCACACAATGCAACCGATTCTCCAAGGAATCTAATGTAACCATCGTATCATACGAGGTTCTGCAAATCCTCCGAGGGATCATTCAACACAAAAATGCATACTAAGATGCTACACAATGCTAATCCTCCGAGGGATCGATCAACACAGAATGCATACTATGTTCACAAACATACTCATTGCATTTATCACATACATCGCATATATCTATCATGCATTCACATTATGCACCATTTCACACATGGTTTACACACATATCAGCCTATTAATGCGTTTCTATTCAATTCAAATAAATACACAAGATTATCAAACGTTCAAGATTCACCATTGGCTCTACAATCTAGGATTCACGCCTTTCGGCCACCCACAACACGACATGTCGAAACAGTTCACACATCAATCATTCATATAGGCATTAATCATAATTGAATCGGCCAAAAAATCATGCTATGAATAAACAGCAAAACAAATAACACTGTCAGGTTCGCCAACCTTCGCCTGGCGAAGCCACACAGCGAATGCTCGCTGGCCTTCGCCTGGCGAACTTCCCAGCGAAGTCCACTGGGATTAATTCTGGAATTACTCGCTGAGGCTCGCTACACACTCGCCTGGCGAACCTTCGCCAACTCACTTCGCCTGGCGAACTTGCCAGCGAAGACAGGGTGTTTGCTTCTGACTTGCTTCGCTGCAGCTCGCTGGGCTTCGCCTGGCGAAGCTTCGCTGCCATTCGCCTGGCGAGCCTGCGAAGACAGAACCTCCATGGTTGTTCCAAAGCCCAAACTCCACACAACCAACCGATTAAATCCAAACCAGTCTCAGTGGCACAACCCTACCATCACCCGACTAAACTACATCGTCTAATCCGAGTTCTAACCGATTAAAACCTCTTTCTACTCATCAAACCAACTTCTAACCTAAGTGGAAAAAGAGTAGAAACTCTACAAAATCCAAACACATACACATACAATCATACACATTAAAGAGATGATGGAGTTTCACACCCTTACCGATCGATTGCAAGCTTTGGTGATGATCCCTTGATGATTCTAGGTTTTCCTCTCCACTTTCTCTTCTCTTTCTCTTCTCCTCTTTTCTCTCTCTTGTTTTTCTCCTTATGTTACTATTTTTCTTTCTTTTCCTCTCTTATCCTATTTCTATCTCTATTTCTTTCCTCTCAAATTCTTTCCAACACTTACCAATCAATTCTCACACTAAATTGCTAAATGTCTAAAATGCCCTTTTTACTCTAATTCCCCCGAAAACTCTCCGAATCGGTAAAAAATAGATAAAATAAGCAAACACCACATAGTAATATATAATTTCTCAATTTAAAACAAACATCAATTAAATAAATTAAAAGACTCAACAATTAATGGGAATTCAGAATCGGGGCGTTACAACTCTCCCCCACTTTAGAAATTTTCGTCCTCGAAAATATTACCTGATTCAAACAACTCTGGATGCGATTCTCGCATCTTGCTCTCCAACTCCCAAGTCATGTTGCCTTCTGTGGCACCTCCCCAGGACACTTTCACAAGCGCAATATCCTTGCCTCTTAGTTTCTTAACTTCGCGGTCCGAAATACTAACCGGTAAAACTTCAACTGTAAGGTTATCTCTTAC